AAAGATTTTATGTGGCACGGAGATGTCATAGGTTTGCTACACTTGCGGTGTTCACGGGTTTATTGGTTCCTCGGCCGGTATAAAGTTTTTTTAAGCTCACCCAACATATACGGGTCGAGGATTAAAACGTCGATGTCACGATCATGTATGTCAGTGTTTGGCGCGGGTTCGAACTTTTTTTGACTTCGAAAGCTACTGCTACTACTAGCGATGATTTGCTAGATGATTCAAGAGACTCACGGAAGGTTTCTAGGTGTGTGTTTGTCACGCAGTGTGCACCGTCAAACTTAAAAAAAGGAATGATGGAGGATGTCTCATTTCAATAGATGAGTCTTTTTACTTGAAATACCCGCGAAAATATAAACGCACCACAAGAAAAAAAATAGAATATACACCAAATAATTGAGCTAATAGGCGCGGTATTAATGGCCGAACTACTTCTTCATAGACAGGGATGGGAGAGCGGGGTACAAGGATGGTCACATTTTCTCGTTCGCCGTCATCAATCATAGAGCAATTATGAACAACTTCTATTTCTCTTATCATCATACGTGTACAGCCTACTTGGATAGTGGCGTTTCGACACGCGACACCGCTATCATCCACGATTAATTTTTGTGATTTGCCACTATTTAAGTCCGTGGCGGAGGCTACAAAAAGCCCTTTTTGAGAGCAGATTGTGGTATAAAGTCACATATAATAATGATGCGGAAAAATTGCACTGTACACGTGCATTTGTACGTGGATGCACCCAACCGAATTTGGTCTAATTTGATCAATTGTTGTGGAGGTCAAAGAGAAGGAATCCTCCTCCTGTGAAAACAAAGAATAAAAATGACCTTTTTCCTGGCCACGCAATGGTATCTTAGTCCCACATACCCATACAATACGACACAGAATGTCATTATACCATATATTGGGACGTTCGATTTGCCCAAACAATGTCTCTTCAGCGTAAAACACCCTCCAACAACGCCCATATCATCGCATTCGATATAAAGGTCCGCGAGCGCGACCCGTCTACGAAGGTCGTCGTGTCAGTAAAATGTGTCTAGTTCTGTGTACATTTTAATCATAAATAGAAGATTGGCACCAAACGGAAAGCTACGAGCAACATCCAGTATTTCAAACGCCTATTTCGCGCTGATGTCTACAAACACCACATGAAACCAGGCATTCTCAGAACCGGGAGGCGTAATGTGCCCTGTCAAATGAGCAGAATGCTACTTTCTTTGACGAAAGCGCTCCTGTTGTGCACCGGAGTACCTTACGATCCCACTTTGGCGGAGCCCAGGCACATACGTATCACTTTGTAGATAAGAGTATTGTCGATGTTATTGTTGGTGAGATATTCTTCCATCCTGATGACGAAAACGAAGAGACGACCAAGGATCGAGCTCTGGTCATCTTCGAGAACGTTGTTGGTCCCGAAGAGAATGAGCATGACTCGGATCGTAGACCGACCGCTACTACATCGTCATCAAGAACTCCATACATTTTCGCCTGATTGTCGGATACGTCGGTTGAGGGGCTTTGTTTTGAACGGGCTGTTCGGTTTCTGAAAATGAAGAAGGAACCAACGGGTTTGGCGTAGATCGGGAGTGCAAGCGCAGGCAAGATCACAAGTTACATGCTGTATGTATGCGCGCTGAATTTCCAGAATATGTCGAGAATTCTGGCCTCAGGCTGAACGTTCTCTTTGGATATGGATATGTCCACATACATGTCTACCTCTTATTTGGACATTAACATTCGGGCATTCGCCTGTTCAGGATTCATAACTTCCGTTTGCTCGCCATACCAATGTTCAGCAGTCACACTGAAGAAGAGATATTTCTGCATTCTGAAAGAGCACTGGATGTCATCTGTCCCAACTGCCGGGATCCGATTATGTCCATCTCGACAGGCGGTGAGCGAAAGACGACCGGCAGAGCTCAAGGCGCCGCCACTCTCTATAAACAAGTCGTGAAGCCTGGGTTCTTTTCACTTTGGTGTGGCTTGCACCAACTTGATATTGTTTTGCAGTAGTTAGCAAGCATCTACTGGATGACGAGTTCTATTCTCTACTGACCGGCCTCATCTCATACTGACGAAGCCAACAAAGTCTCATCGAAGACATGGTAACGCAGGCCAAGAAAGTTGAGGACACTCGATGGGAATCGCTGTTCAAGGCACATTTCTTAGTTTACTTTCCATTCGTGCTCTTTCCAAAGTTCTGAAATTTGGTGCAGGTTGCTGCGTGGTACCGGCAACATCGAGCGCCAGTACGAGCGTATCTTGAGTTTGAAGAGTCCGCCTTGCGCCCCACCACTCAAGTGGTGGGTGGTCGTCATCTTTTTGTGAAGGTCGCCAACGAGGCGACCAACACGTTCCGAAGCCTTGAAGGATTGACAACGCTTTTTATCAGCAACGCAAATGCATTTTGAAGTTCAGTTCAACTTATGCGTCTTGGTTTAGCGCTTTACAGATTGACGGCCAAGAAGGTGTACATGCGCTCGACCTGGAATCCAATGTGCTTTCGGCGGGTAAGAAGGTATCTATTAAAACTCAGCGATGCCGAAGACGTACTGGCGGACCTAGGCAGATTTGTTATCGAGGCCATAGAAGAGGTTGGCGCCGACGAAATGGCTGCCGTTGTCAAGATCGTCGCCACTTACTGCTTCGAATTGGTTGCCAACCTTGCAAGCATTGGGACTTAACGTAACTCACGGAACGATGATGCCGACTTCATGCCGCCTGACCTACCTCATCAGCTCGTCAAACTTCGCGGTTGAGATTTCGTTGACATTTTCCGCAAGCAAAGAAATCACCTGTACTCCCGCTCGAGACGGCAAAGTATCGTCGAGCTCATTGATCAGGAGTTTAAGAATTTCGAGGTGCTTAAGATCGTGATCCGTCTTTGGAGCAGGCCATGGATCAGTGCGACGTCAACACTTAGATCGAAAATGGCTACAACTACGTGCAACATTGTTTCGAGCACCTGAAGACGTTTTGTGGAGGCTTGGCGACCGCGTTCCCGGTCACATCTACTGTGGAGATTGACTTCTCCATTATTAAGTGGAAGAAGGATGATTGCCGGATTGGCCTAATAGATTTCTGTCTAGAAGGCATCCTGTAAGCCAAGCAGCTCAAGAAACTGCATTTAATCGCCCTCTAAGCCCTCGATTCTTATTATAAATTCAGATCCAGGCTATATTGTGTCCAAGAAACCTGCATTTGGGTGACGATCAGGCGGGCGCTACTAGCCACTGTTAAGATTTATCAGGCGCCACTATTACCTTAATTGTGGTAATAATGGCGTGCGCCACTATTAAAGTGGCCTGTACACGAAACTTGAGAAATGCGTTATCCATCATGAGAATAGTAAAAAACGCATTATTTGGTACAAAAATAGAAACTGCGCCTAAAGATGGGAGCATACGAGATACAAATGCACCACTGGTATGTACAATACATTCGATCACACACATGCTAAAGATCACACAGAAATATGCCCGTTTTGCTGATAACCATGCAAGTTTCGTAGCAAGCTGAACGATATTCCGCCATTCGGGAAGATTATGTGGTGTTGTATTAGTGTATTGTATGTCACCGTTGGTATTACTACTTGATAGCTGGTAAGTACTTTGACACAGTGGGCACAAACTCTACTACACCAGCATCGTTATATTGGGTCAGCGCATTGGAAGTATGGTGAAGCACACTTCTTACCAGATGAATGGTATGCCCTTTACTGAAACAGTGCAACCGAGTGCACTCTCAGTCCTCACGTACACGGTACGTGCAAAGGAAGAGACCTACTTGAGCAAGAAACTGCTCCGAGTCAGATAAAAAGTAAACTATACACGATACAGCTAAGCCTCTGTTACAACCCTTCTTTTGTATTACTTAAACCTACATGTATCTACAAACTTCTGATACCGAGTCTCGTTCACCACATATTGCGTGCTTCCAGCAGCATTTGGTGGCTCATTTAGTTGGTACCAGGGCCTGTATCAACCAATTGTAAACCGATGCCGAAATTACGTGTACAGGTGATATTCGTTTAATATTGACTCGCAAGAGCAACACCGTTAGTTCGTATCGATTAGGATAATATAAACATTGATACAATTCGTACCAATGATATGCAACAGGCTCGCCCCGTTATAGCTATGGACATTGTTCAGCATGAGGCCCACTAGTACGTACGTATCTTGTACTAGGCTTCTTCAATGTGTACAACGAGGAACGAGCTGCTGCCCTTGTGTACATTATGTACGCCGCTGTAGATGTCAATACCGCGTTAATCTTACAACATACAGAGTGCAATTGCGCTGCTAGACGCACGCAATGGGTCTAGCAGCGATAGACGTCATCATACTTAGCAAGGCACTGACCTTCACTGTTGTCAGTGAACGTTAACTTCGGACTGGTGCTCCCGTACGAAGTAAGCAGTGCCCCGTTACATGGTATGTACGACTGACCCCATTCTCGAATACTTGGTCGCAATTGGGATGAAACGATTCCATACAGCTGATCGAGTGGCTGGCACGTACAATCTAGCAGCGTGTCTGCGTGCGAATCCAGTACCCTCGACGATCATGTTTCTGTCCCACTTCGTGGCGTAGTTTTAGTAGTGAACAATGGCACCAACTCAAAGCATGCGTCAGCTACCAGACCAGATGGCGGTCGACCCGCCACCTCAAACCTCAACCCATACGCATCGATCATATCGATTTCAAACCTCAAATTGCACGCATTGATCAGATCGATCGCAAACCACATGCATCGATCAGATCGATCGCAAACCACACGCATCGATCAGATCGATCGCAAACCACACGGATCTATCATATATCGCACACCTCGAGTGTATGCATCAACGTATACCCCCTCGCTCGGCATCACGTTTCCCAGGGTCGAGCGACGCAGGACAGCCACCGACTCTGTAGCCATTCGCCGACCCACCGCATCTACGCGTCCGTCCGTCCGTCCGTCCGTCTGTCTGTCTGTCTGTCATGTTGCGCCGCGTGGCCGCCCTCTGCGTGGCCCCGACCCGCGGCACTGCCCGCACGAGCTGCCCGCCGCTCGGCCGCCGCCGCCTCTCGTCGTCCTGCGAGCTCTACAAGAACCCGCGCAGCTCCAAGTTCTCCATGACAAAGATCGTCGCCACGGTCGGCCCCGTGTCGCAGCAGTACGCGACGCTGCAGGAGCTCACGAACGAGGGACTGCGCATCATGCGCATCAACTTCTCCCACGCCGAGTACGACGAAGCGCTGCTGCGGATCCAGAACCTCCGCGCGTGCAGCGGTGTGCACGCGCAGGGGCAGTCCACGTTCAACCTCCGCGCCGTGCTGCACGACACCAAGGGGCCGGAGATCCGCACGGGGAAGATGCGGGACGGCAAGAAGGTGTACTTGAAGAAGGGCGCGACCGTCGTGCTGACGACGGACGCCGCGGTCGAGTGCCAGGGCACGGCCGACAAGTTCTACGTGACGTACAAGCAGTTGGCCGAGACGGTCCGCGTGGGCGACACGGTGCTGCTGTCGGACGGCCTGATCCGACTCACGTGCGTGGCAGTGGGCCAGGGCGAAGTCACGTGCAGGGTCGAGAACTCGGACGAGCTGGGGAACCAGAAGGGCGTGAACCTCCCGGGCTTGAAGATCGACTTGCCCGCGCTGTCGTCGAAAGACAAGCGCGACTTGGACTGGAGCGTCCAGAACGACGTCGACTTCATTGCGGCGTCGTTCATTCGCAAAGCGAGCGACGTGGCGGAGATTCGCGCGTTTGTCGACGAGTGCGTCCAGAAGCACTGGGCGCACAAGCCCCACTACATTGCGCCCAAGATCATCTCAAAGATCGAGAACTTGGAAGGTGTCGAGAACTTTGACGCGATCCTCGACGCCTCGGACGGCATCATGTGCGCTCGCGGCGACTTGGGTGTCGAAGTGCCCTTGCAGAAGGTGCTGACCTACCAGAAGATGATGGTCGATCGGTGCAACGCCGTCGGGAAGCCCGTGATTGTGGCCACGCAGATGCTCGAGTCCATGCAGACCAACCCACGGCCAACGCGCGCCGAAGTGTCGGATGTCGGGAACGCCGTGCTGGACGGCGCCGACTGCGTCATGCTCAGTGGCGAGTCTGCGCAGGGCAAGTACCCGGTCGAGTCGGTGGCGACCATGACGTCAGTGATCAAAGAGGCCGACGAGCTGCTGCTGCAGCCGGCGTACCGCGCCAAGTTCCAGTTTGACCCGCCGACGTCGGACGTCGAGTCGGCCGTGTCGTCGGCCGTCAAGACTGCGAACGAGATGCACGCGCAACTGATGATCGTGCTGACCCGCACGGGGTATACGGCCCGCAAGGTCGCCAAGTACAAGCCCACGGTGCCGGTCATGTGCTTTACGACGGACAAGAAAGTTGGCCGTCAGCTCCAGATCCATCGTGGACTGTACCCTGTTGTCCCCGACGCCTCTGACCATGCCCCGACCACTGCCGAAGCGATTGCCCAAGCCAAGAAGATGGGATGGCTGTCTTCAGGGGACCGCGTGGTGCTCATTAGCGGTGACAAGCTCTCGGACGACCTCGGCCGAGAAATCCTCATTGGCGTTGCGGACGTCCAGTGAGCAATGTACGATGGATACCCACATCCAGTGGGGGCACGGACACCTCCTGCAGCTGTGTGGAGCGACGAGGAGTTGTTGTGCAGCGAACGAACGGGTCTTTGTCACGACTTGTCACGTGTTTCGATTGCTGGTTTCGACTTGTATTGCTGAGAGAGAGAGAGAGAGAGAGGGTCATCACTATGTGAGCATTGATTGAAGCCAATGTGGTTCGGGATACGACTAACACTGAAGCAGAGTGTCCTCGAGCGAAAAGTGGATGTTGCGTAGCGGTGTTTTTGGCATTTGGGTATTGCATGGAGCAGGCGCAACGCGGCGTCAGCTACTGAGGTGAATCAGCTACAACTTCTGTGCAGGTAAAGTTTCGTGTTTGTTGGATCAATCGTGAGATTGATCCACTGGATCCGTTGGTCGATTTTGGTCGTTTTGCGTTTATTCCACTCGGCACGAAAAACGTGTCAGTTGACAAACGCTTGAATCTGGGAAAAGGAGACAGCGTTGCCGATTTTCTATCCTGTATATGACGAACGATGAGCTCGCTGCACATTCTTCGTTCAGCCAGCACATTCGACCAATCATAATCACGTTTGACAGGCGGACAGCTTCGTGTCGGTTGTGGTCTGTCCGCCCGATTCCGCGCGGTTTTAATTTGGGCCGTACTGATTTTGCGTCGCTTCGACAAGAGAACTGCCGGCTTCTATTCTGATGTTGCAGCTATTCTGTCACGGAAACTCAGCTTACCGAACGTCCTGAACATGCCACTGTGCCGAGGCCGTCCCCATCTGCACATATTCCCGTCATAACGAGTGGTGCCGGTGTCGGCACTGCTATCGACGCTCGACCGTCTGAGGCGTTTGCCACGAGAGGCACTTGACGCGAGACGTCACTTCTCCCCAGCGACGAACGCGATAGATGTCACAACCGGATGGTGGTCCTGTTCAACTTCATCGCCCGTGCAGATGCCGCCGGTACGCACGTAAGCTAAAAAAAGACAAACCAGCCAACAACAACCTGCAGACGCTCGTTCGCTGCAGTGTAGTGACGTTGTGCGCTTTGGCGAATGCGCTTTGGCGAAGACTCAGGTCAACCGCTCTCTCCTCGTCGAACTTCGTACGACATCGTACACTGTCCCGCCCGGCACAACTTGGACGTAGCGTGCACAAACACAGAGAGAGGTATGGTGAGACCCCATCGCTGCCTGCAGTATGAGTAGATGACTACTGCAGAATGGAAAACAATAGACAGCTCACGGCTTTTGACTGAACGTCGAGAAGGGTACCACCCGACTTGTCGTCGTCGTCGTCCTCATGTTGCCTTGCGCCAGTTGCGTTGGGGTGTGAACCGGCAAGAGCGACTGCGTGGGCAAACGTACAGCGCGCGCTTGCTGCGTGTCACTACATGTAGTGTAGTGTGGGGGTGCAGATAGCTCAGACACGCGGACGAGAAGTCGCAAAGGAGATGAAGCGAGTGCTGCAAGATATCTTGGGCTTCGTTGAGGTCGGTATGCAGTGGCATGTCGCCGTCCAGTCGTGTGCGTTCTGGAACGGCAGGTGGGTCTGCTCTCGATGGGGAGACTTATCATTGAGCGCAGTGGTCGATGCAGCAGTCACTCGACGCGAGTTTCCATCTACAGTCGCTTCGCCTCTAGCAGGCAGTAGAAGTCTGCCGTGTCTTATGTCGAACCCGCTTCGAGACTTGCATCCATCTGTCGCAACAGCTGTGATGCATCGTTGCTTCCTATTCATCGTGTCCGATCGCGTGCTCGGCGTGCGTTCGCTTGCGGTGTTATTGCCGCAGTTCAGCTTTCGCTCGGAGGATGAAGGGCCGATTCATTGTCAATCCGTTTCAGGAACTTCATTTGACGGCGAGCGACTGCACGTCTCTGGAAGACCTGGCCAACCAGTGCATCTCGACCAACCTCGAGCTCTGCACGAAGTTCATGGCGTCAGGAACGAGACGCAGCGTGGACCCACGCCACTGGAGACCGCTGAAGGAGAAAGAGAAGCTCAGAGTGTACACGGAGCGACCTTCGGGTGCAGCAGTTGCAGCTGCTTCCGGCAATGAGCCGACGGGGTCGGGACTGCCCATGATCTTGTGCGTCGGGACCATGGAAGGCAAGCTGGACGACCTTTTGTTTGGTGTCATCAGTGAAGACCTCGAGACGATGCGCTTGAAGGCTTCGTACGTGGCAGACTTCAGCGGAGCGGCTGTGCTGGACTCCGTGGTGCCCCCGAGTTTGGAAGACCCGTTTCAGTCGCTCGTGATCAAGTGGATGGAGCTCGACATTCCGTTCAGCTCGACGAGTCTGGTCAAGAACCGTGACTACGTGTACCTCGAAGGCACAGGTTACGTCACCAACTCGAAAGGCGAGCGCATGGGGTATCACCTTTTGCACTCGGTGGACTTTACACAAACGCACGGACTGCCGAACCGCGTCCGAGGCAATCTCTCTATCATTGCTTTTTGGCGACAGGTCAGTAGCAATACGATCGAAATGTATGCTACGGGCGTCATGGATCCCGTCGACGCCGGCCTCGTGCGCAAGCTTGTGGTTCTGAACATGGCCAACGTGTTCCTCTCGTCGCTGAAGTATGCCTATTGCGGGCAGATGCGAAAGCTGTCATTCATGCTCGACAAAGCCTACACGGACTCGAAGCTGCGCGGGGCACCCAACAGGAAAAGCATCTGCGTCACGTGCTCGACGCCGATCAGCGGTCGAAAAGCCGGGGACTTTGGCAAGAGCAACAATACGTGCAAGATCTGCTTTGGCTTTGTCTGCCACGCGTGCAAGGTCGTCCGGAAGCTTAGTTTCGTAGATCCGGATCTACTTCTGTCGCAGCGCAAGGTGACGTTCTGCACGTCGTGCATCAGCTCCGTCACTAGTGTGAGCTCCGTGGACTGTGCTCGAGCGCAGATGCTTAAGCATTCTAAGGGGAATCACTCTAGTATAGATCAAACCGTGTCATCCATTGACACCAACAGCGGGGAATTCTCCTACGCTAGTGCACAGTAGAAGCAGGCGACATTGTGAGAAGTGTCGGCAGATGTACAACACAGGCGGTCAACGGCAACCGTGTTATCAATTTGGTCGCCGGACTTCACATGAGTGTCATTTGCCATGGTTTGTGCGCCAAAGCCAGCGACTAACGCGGCACGTCGTCCGGCGTCAAGGCCAGCGACTAAAGCAGCACATTGTTTGGCGTCTGGATAGTTCGCAAGAGAACGGAAGCGCTTTGATTACCGGTCTGTGTGAGCAGATCAATTGCAGATAGTCAACAGCTTACCCGTCTTTCATCGTGTTCACTTACAGCAGTACAAATCGCGTCTCCTGTTAGAGATTCCCTCGATCAGCGCTTGTCCGCAATGTCAGCTGCTCTTTGCACGAGCATTGTGAGCAAGCACAACGACAGCAGCGAGCAAAAGTGCTCTGAAATGCAGCGAGACTCTGTTTCGCATGCAACTGACCGCTTGCAACTGAACGAATTGCTGAGTATTTCCATCGCACCAGTCACGATTTGCTGACTCGGAGCAAACAAGAAAGCGCAGACCAATGCTGTACGAGCGGCTGCATGGACATGCGCATGGGTCGACATTGTTCTCACCCATCCGATAACAGCGTTACAACGTATTACGCCAGCGCTGTTCCGGCTCACGAAAGGGATGTCGGTATCAACAACGAAACATTGGTCTACCTGCGTGTCTTGCACCAGCGCCGTACTTGGCATCATCCCAGTGTAATCTCACTTGGCTCACTCTTTCAGCCGTCCACTTTGACTCGCCTTCTACTAAGCTGACATGTGGCTGGTCCCAGATGGAGAGTAAAACTTGCCGCCACTTTCGGCTTAGCACGAAGATATCATCAAGAGATCCCCGACATTCGTAGCTACAATAACGTGAATGGCAGATTTGTTTAGCTCATCGTTGTAGTGTGGGGTGCAGAGAGGAAGATGCAAACTAGACAAACGACAAACATAACGCATGACGTAACGCCCGCGTTTAGCGCCGCGGGTACGCTCACGATTGATCGACGACGTGCTGCTCGAACGTTGTATAACACTAGTTGACCATCACTGCGTGACAAGTCCTGATCGAGAGACTCGGTAGTTGTGACGCACTTGCGTAAGTACCGCGAGGTGTGTTGAGGACACGTCGCCGTCCACGACTTCTTACATCCTTACAACATCTACATCGTCGATAGCTTTACATCCATTGCGTCTCCATCTTCCTCGATCGTGTGTTCCATACTACAAAGCCGCTTCGAACAGCTTCATGCGTGCTATTGCGATGACAGTGTTTTGGATCATACAACCACAACTTCATCGCAACGCCAGCACGTTTGTCGACACCAGTAAGGCACAAAAGAAAGCAACACGTGATATACTTATACAATGCCCCGAAATCCACCAACCTCACGTTCATCGAGATAGTGAGAGCAATGTCAGGACATCCTGGAACTCAGCACGCGACTTGCGAGCGTAACTCGTTGACATGCAAACATTGTGGTGACAACGCAATCATCCGCTGACACATGCGAGAGAGCGATGGAAGTGCCTCGTGCGATACCAAATTGCGCTTAGCAAAGGTAGGACCGCTCACACATTGAGGTCGTCAGAAAGGATGTCCGATCCCGACAGGGACGCCATCACATTGTAAGCTTGATAGCCCTCCGCTTGGTCGCACGCCGCTGGCAACGCGTCCATCTGCGTAACTTCGCTCATGCACATGACGCAAAACGTGATTTTGTGACGCAGTAGCTTCCCGTTCGGTGCCAGGAAACTGATTCCCTTGGGTCGCTTGCACTTGAGGCACACGTGGTGCATACAGAGCTTGCAAACGCTCTTCCCAATAGCGCCCACTCTCGGAAGACCAAAGCTTCCACGGGCGAGATTCCGCGCACAAGCACTGCACGCATTCTCCCCCGCCAATACGTTGCGCGTGCTCTTTCGGAAACCAGTATACCGCGTCTCGGCGTATCGATGTTGCAGTCTCCACGTCAGTTTCTTGGCTTGTCCACAGATCACATAGTTCGTCGTCGAAAGCAGCGCCTTCGCTGAGACTTCCAGTGCAAGCGAACGGAAGACTTTGCCACCTGGATGCACATTGTCGAGGGCAAACGTGTCGATGACGTTGTGACTCATTTGCCGATAGAACCCAATGATCTTGTGTCGAGCACGGATAGTTCCAGGCAGTGGCTGCGTGCATGGAAAGTCGATCGAGTGCAGGAGCTGGTAGCCAACACGGTCTCCATTGGCAAAGTGCAGAATGCCCGTCGCTTCGAGACAGACAAAGTCTCGATTTTGGGTCAGTCCAGTCTGATTGAGAGGCAAGTTGATCTGAGTCCACTTTACAGAGACGGAGCGGAACGGGTCTCTGACTGTAGGGACAATGATGTTGGCCAACACAGCGCCGTCGCTGTAGTCCTTTACGTACGACGCCTTGACGCGCATGATCTCCTGGGTCGGGTTCACCGTGCCAAACATGAGGTCATTCAACTCGCCTTCGAACGTCCCCACTGCGAGAATGAGAGGCATGTGCTTCTGCCAGCTGTCTGCTGCTTCTTGCGTCGACGGGTCGTCGGCTACCAGCTCATCGCTCCACCCTTTGCGCTCTGCAAAGACGTGCAAGTTCTTGTCGTCGCCGATCGACTTCCACTGCGCGCGCTTGACTTCTCGATTGTCATCGAGGACAAACGCTTCATACTTTGGAAAGATTTCGACGATCAAATCTCGTTCGAGCTGCAGCAGCTCGAGTCGGTCTGCATCGGAAAGCACAAGGGCCGGGTACGGGTTCGAGGTAAACGCTGGTGCTTTGCCCATGGCAATCACCTCTCGAAGTGCGCTGGACGTTTGTTGATTTGCGACAACGCAATTTCAATTGTGACAGCTCATCCCATGAGGTACGAGGCAGTGGTAGGGGCTATGATGAGGCCACTGTTCGAGGCAGACGACTCATTGACTCTGTGCATGTCGAGACTACTGAGATGAAACTTTTTGTCGCGGTCGATGAATGAGAACTCGTCAGGGATACCCTCCGGTCCAGATGCAGGTAAGGACAGGACTGCGCCATCTCAATTTCTCAGACGGGCAAGTCGCGCAGTGGTAGTACACTTGTCGTCATGTCTGCGATACATCATGTCTAGCGTAAGAGTAGCAGTGTGATGTTTTTGTGCTGGCTATCTTGAAAAAACGTGGACCTGACGTCGACGACACTGAGTTCTAAATTCTAAATCGTAAACTCGGGTGTAGTCGATATTGCGAAGAATGCGATGCTACATACCTACAATGGGTATGGCGATTGAGCAGCAGTCATTGTCCTGCAAACAACAACGAGCTGGTATGTATAACGGAGAAGTACGCTGGTGTTGCGTCAAGCAGTGGTGTGGTGGATCCACTGTGGACAAAGATTGTAGTGAAGGTACAAGGATATTGCAAGCTTCCAGTGTACGCCGATGTCATGAAGAAAGCCTTGTCACTCATTTAAACAATGATCCAGGTATGTTCTACATTCCGTGACGTCAAGCCTACCTATCCATTTTTGCGTCAAAGTGAGGATCGAGTGAGACTACGATTCAAGCGATAACACGTGGAAGCGTTGCGACCTGTACATACGCCCAAGTTCCATCCTCAGCTCTGTCCGATGCCGATACGATCACACGGCTCAGGTCAATGAATGACTCCGCTGTTCTATCGCCCGTTGGGCTGAGAGAAACGCTTAACGACAACATTGGTACAGACTAGCAGTCAAAAGTATATAACACTAGCACGAATTGTCATCCTACGCGATCAGTAACACAGGATGTCCGAGTGGCAAACACGGAAAAAACAAAAGCGGTAAGGAAAAGAAACAGGACTAAATCTCCGTATGTAGCGAGCTTGCGTACAAGCTGATCGTATGGAGAGCTCTTGTGCAAGAAGGTGTGCTTATCAAACGACGTCAAGACGAAAGTGACGCATGTGAATCTGGACCAATGTCGTCGTGCTTATGCGATAGCCTGGCCCCTTTCTTCCATGCTAGCCTATCCTTCCCAAATGACTGTCCAGCCTTTGCACTAACAGCAATAACCCATTACCTTGCAGAGGTCGTAGAGCCTCTGCATTCGTTTCCCGCAGCTCCTCACCTCAGTCACAATGACACACGACGTCAATCACAAAACAATTGCTTGCTGAAACCAGCGACATGTGCACGTGGCTACACCTTGCAGTCTCCTTTGTTGGTGATTGCCTCGTCCATGATCGATTCGTACTGACGATGATGGAAAACGATGTCGTTAGCGATGTAGCAATTGCCCGTTTGATAGTTAGACTCATATTACGAGACAATCGAAAACCTGCCACGTCAGGACTCTACCAGTGGAGCACAATCAATGATCGTTTGCCCCTGACCTGCCCAAAGGCAAGTATGGAGTGCGCCGTCTCCAAGCGAACGGGGCGCCAGAGGTCTTCCAAGATTCGTACGTCAGTCTCACTGCCCACAAGTCCACGTAATGGCAACACCAGCTGCTACAATGTGGAATCTCTTGGCCAAGCCTTGTACAAAAAGGACCAGCCCTCACGCCGCTTCTCGCGGATACGTCAACTCTATCGCACTATCGCTAACGTGAGAAACCTGCATCACGGTCGTTTTCGTTGCCCGTGGCGAATAAGATGTCTTCCCGAGCTGGAACAAAGGTGCGATGATGATCCGAGTTGCAGTATCCACACAATCTACGAAATGTACCGCAAACCTGCTAAAAACGAGCTGTGAAAGGTGCAAAAGCGAGAGAATGTGCACGTAACCAAGGGCTCCTATCTTCGACACTATCGATGCCCACCATCAAACACCAAACTCGAGTTGGGACACAAACGAGTGATCGAGCACGGAATGAAGTTGTAGGACCCCGACGAGATCGTCTCATCATGCCAGGTATCGACCCCGATAGCCGACCATCTTCAACATGCACACTCTTTTCCTACTCGGCATTTGTATAAGAGACATACAAAAGTCTATACGCTAATAACGTGCCAACTATGCAGATGCACGCGAACTGAAGGGTTTAGACCGAATGTCTTCCTTGAAGTTTGAAAAGAAAAACACTTCTCTAGAAAGATGTTCAATATGACAAATCAACGCACTGTTGTATGACACATGCTGAAAGCACATGGACCAGTATTGACAACGATCTTGCCAATGACATGCCATTACATTGTACATACACCGCACCACCAGACACACCTATCAAGTGCTGTAAGGCCGATAGCCATTGGCCTGGTCGCGTGCTGCATCCAGCGCGTCTACTCGGAAGCCCATCTTAATGCACGCACTACAGAAGGTGACCTTACGTCGTAATACCTTTCGGTCTCGCGTGAGGAAGCTCATTGTCTTGACTTCTTTGCACCCGAAGCACAACTCGCCCAAACACATCGAGCACTTGTCCTTCCACAGGTGCTTGATCACACCTGGTTGCACGTTGCGGTTGCATGTGACGCAGAAGTCTTCATGGCGCAACAGAGGTGCCACGTTCCCTACGCCCAATGAGGTCTGGCGTTGTTGGAGCATCCACGTGAGCTTCTTCATCAAGCCGCACGTGACGTAGTTCGTGGCTGATAGTAAAGCATTGGCGCAAATCGGCAGCAATACCGAATCCAGGATCGCCCCGCCCGGGTCGACCGAGTCGAAAGCAAACGTGTCGATCACGTTGGGAGCGATTTGCCTAAAGAAACCAGTGATGTAGTGCTTAGCACGCACGACATTGGGCAGTGGTTGCACAAGTGGGGAGTCGATCGAGTGTAGCATGAGGTAGCCAACTCTCTCTCCATTCGCGAAGTGGAGGATGCCCGATGCTTCTAGACAGAGGAAGTCTCGGTCTCTGATCAGCTTTGTGTAGCTCAGCGGCAGGTCAATCTGCAGCCACTTGACTGTCACGGAGCGGAACGGATCGGCGGTAGTAGGCTTTACCAGCGTAGCCAGCACGGCCCCATCACTATAGTCGTGGACGTACGAGGCTTTGACCTGCATGATGTCATCGGTCGGGTTCACCGTGCCATACATGAGGTCGTCGAGCTGCCCAGTGAACGTACCGACGCTCAGCACGACGGGCTTCGACGTGCCCGTGCATTTCTCTTCCGGCGAGCGACAGCACTGCGGACCGCTTTGCTTACCCTTTGACTCTTTCGTGCGTTTCGCGTAAATGTGGAGATCGTCTTTGGACTTGACGTGTTTCCAGCGCGCTGAGTTCACTTGCGAGTTGCTCATGACAAACTTCTCGTACTTCTTGAACGTGTCTTCCACCAGGTCGCGCTCGAGCTCCATTAAGGTGCGTTGGTCTTTCAGCGTAAGGGACAGCGGGTGATACGGACTCATGTTGAACCGGTCTTTGGGCATCGTCCAGCGTATTGTGTTGTGGTGGACAAGACGGTCCGTCGCCAGGTAACGACCGAACCTGTATGTACGGCAGCTGCTGGCGTCTGTATACAGACGCGTGTGCGTATATGGTATCACAAAAGCAAACGAGTTGTACCACACGAAGCGATATCCGATCCCCTCTGGCTACCGACCGATTTGCTCGCGCACCACTACAATCATAGCCGTTTGCTCGAACTTGTGGTGTTTCGAAGCTTTGATAGGCGCCTGCCCTGCCAAAGACGGGAACGACAAGACGGCTGTCCAAGGCCCACAGAGTGGCTCAACGACACTGTCCTTCCCATGGCCCGCCACGAGCGACTTGCTCCGTCTGTAGCGGGTGGAGACGGGAGCATCGCGCGTGATGACGCAGACTTTTACCAGCACATCTCGCTCTCTGTCAACCACGAATTGTCAAGAACAGCTCAGTTCAGAACCTCCACACGTAAATCTGTAGGGGCTACAGATTTCAATCGTCGGGAACGTAGCGGGAACATGCACTTGCTGCACACAATCTGCCCAGTCTCTTCACCCAAGGGGTGCACAGAAGACGCCAAGAACGTCGACAAAGGCTGGCGTGCCTCGCGTCCCTTGAGGTATCTCCTAACGGGAGCTCCAGATGGATACTACATCGACGTGTCGAACGTTCGTCAGCGTCCACCACGTGCGCTCAAAAGCGCACCTCTGTATGATCCCTTGACCTCGCGTCATCATTGATATGACGCAAGGCAAAGGTGAACGCGCTCTTGTCCCCGTGGACGAGTCAATGACCTGTCTACGCAGCGCGCCCTGTCTGCTCTCTGCTTTTTTTCCGGCGGGCTCAACCATCTCTCGACCACGAATGCCTTCTCTTCCTCGCGCCCGTCTGCCGCATGGGAGCATCTGCAGGCACGAACGATCCACGAACGTGCTCTGTCAAGATTAAAACCCAGCGGCTTTTCTGCTGCAGCGGACCGCGTAGCTTGTCATTGTTGAATCCGCCGCCTCGTGAACAAGTGGCCATAGTTTTCACGTGCGTCGGGTCGTCAATGCTCACGTGGCTTCTCGACAGCGACGACCCGGTCAAGAGGCTCGGGCTGTTGCTATTGGGACTCGCCGTCGGGGCCACGATCGCCGTGCAATGTCTGCCAAGTGACAATACCGATAGGAAACTCGCGCAGATCGGACACAGCGTCGCCCCTGGCGCCCAACGGCCCACGCGCGTGGCGTTCTTACCGTCCGCCATCCCTGTCGTCGGCCATGCCGTGTACATGGCGTACTACGCGAATCGGTTCTTAGAGTGGACGACAGACGTCTTCTTGTCGCGGAAGGGCGCGCCGTTCACGCTGCGTCTGCCGTTCCAGCGCGATATGATCCTCACGGCCAATCCGCAGCACTACGAACACGTGATGAAGACCCAATACGACAACTTCCGCAAAGGAGACCACATCTACGACCTGCTCCAGGACCTGCTCGGGGACAGCATCTTGATCGTCGAGGGCGACGAGTGGAAGTTCCACCGGCGCGTGTTCGTGAACCTCTTTAGTTCGCACGCCCTGCGCGAGCACATGGCGCCCATTATCCAAAAACACGTGCGCGTCGTGCAGCACGTGCTCGAGGCGGCCTCGACGACCGACGCACCGGTCGACGTGTTCACTCTCGCGGGCCGATTCACGCTCGACGCGTTCGGGGAGATCGCCTTTGGCTTCAACCTGAGTACCCTCACACTGCAGCACGAGCACCCGTTCGAACGGGCGTTCGTAGACGCGCAGCACATTGCCGCCGCTCGTCTCGTCCAGCCGACGTGGTACTGGAAGCTCAAGCGCTGGCTCAATGTCGGGAGCGAGAAGCGCTTCCGCACAGCGTTGACGGCCGTCGACCACTTTGTCATGGACGTGATATCCAAAACAATGGCCAAACGCAACGCAATGAACGGCAACGTGCGCGAAGACGGCAGGAGTCGCAATCGAGACATCGTGTCCCTCATCCTCGCCAACGAGACGGTGGATGGGAAGCCCGTGGACCCTGTGGTCATCCGCAACATTGTGCTCATGGCGCTCATTGCGGGACGGGACACCGCCGCCGACGCCCTCGCGTGGATGTTCCACTTGCTGTCGCTCAACCCACAGGTCGAAAACAAGCTGCGGGCAGAGCTGAAGCAAAGGCTGCCGAAGCTCGGGACGGACTTTGCCTACGTCCCAGACATGCACGACGTGCAAAAGTTAGTGTACTTGGAAGCGACAATCTGCGAGGCGCTGCGGCTCTACTCGCCCGTGGGCTTAGCCCAGAAGCTGTGTGTCCGCGACACCGTGTTTCCAGACGGCACGTTTGTTCCGAAAGGCGCGAACATTGCTCTCGTGTATTACGCCATGGCCCGGATGCCAAGTGTTTGGGGCGACGACGCCGCGTCGTTCGTGCCGGAACGGTTCATTGATGCTCAATCCGGCGAGATGCTCAAAATCTCGTCGGGTAAGTTTAGTGCGTTCAACACGGGACCTCGCGTGTGCGTCGGCCAGAAACTAGCAATGATGGAGATGAAGATGGTCGTCGCGTGCATCGTGAGTCGATTCCATCTGGACGAAGTCCCTGGCCAAGATGTCGCGTGCTCCATTGGACTTACAATCGGTATGAAGAATCCGCTCATGATGCACGTGCGTAAGCTTCCGCCAGCTGATGAAGTTGCTGTAGGGGTAGCGGCTTGATTTATAAACTTGAGTAGCAGTGTGAGTGAGTATCGAACGAGACAGAATGGCGCAAGCATGGTAGCTGTGCTCCGTACTCGATCAAGATGTGCGCTCTTTCGTCCACCGGTTACTATCGAGTCATCAATGACGAAGTACAGCAACACTCGTGCCACCACCATGTCAGTTGTCATCGCGACCACTACGCAACGTCTGTACTGCATCACTTCTTCGCATCCTAACCGCATCATCGTAAGAACTTCCACTCGTGATCGCCAAATACCCCCCCCCGAAGGGGAAAAGGGTATGAGGATAACGAGAGATGGGGGTAGGTGATTATTTCATAAAACGCGACCATGTGCAACTTCATGAGAAAAGACCATACATCTCACTACATTGCTCGATACATGAGCTGCAACTATATGCCTAGCTCCCTCTTGCGGCTCAGAGAGCATTGGTGCTAGCCGATTGCCTCTTTCCCATGTCATTCGGTATTCGTACTCACGGATGCCGCTCGATGTAGAACAAGAATGGTGCTGTTCATGTGAGCTTGATACATGCCAATATTACTGCTGCTGGTCTAGGCGGTGTACTACACGTCATGCGCCAGGACAGATCAGCGTCGAGGTAGTGATACAGTATCAAAAGACAGCAACAAGACGGCAAGATGCCGTTGCTGCGTCTCTGCAACTACCGTCTCATTGTAGTCTCCTACAAGCTGATTCTCGTTCGGCCACCACATCAATAAGTCGTACCAGTTTTTCAGCTGAACTACACAGCAAAGTCACAGGCACGATCATTGGTTCATGGATGCAAGCCAAAGCATCGTCGGTAGTGTCCATCGGATACTGAACGGAGAGTTTGACGCGAAGCAACGCTACCAACACAGCAAGTCGATCTGTTCGGACGCTGTCAGGAATCACACATATGTGGCCATCCGATCTTGTTCACAATGATACCATCGTACCGTTACAGTGACTGTGACTGCTCGAAAACAATGTCACAATGCAGTGCCTCAGTCCGTTGGAGTTCATCGGAGACGGCAGAAGACCTGAATGACGGACTTACTTCTCGATTGTTGGTCCTCCTTTATGCTACGAATGCAATCGTTGGAGTCCATTGGTAGCATATCATCGTGCATCTTCCTGTTCCTGTTCTTACATAAAATTACGACAGAACGTGCGCGTCATACATCCGTGCGGATCCGATGGCGTGATAAGTGCCAAAGAAAAGGGAAGGAGCATATGGTGCACGAGACGTGATTCGTCCTGCTGTTGCATACTTCGCATTCGCAGTCTGGTGGGCACTTATCGCTACGTGAGAAGAAATAGGTCATTAGTTGTCAGCACGTAGCGAACTTACATGCAGGAATAGCATGTCATGGGATATACTACTTGAACATGAATATGACACTACACTTATTAGCCTTGCGCGAGAAGCTTTCTCATCATGCGGTAACGTTACAATGAGACTCATGTAGTACGTGTTTGCATCAGTTCTCACGAAGCGTCATCCAGTTACAACATGGCATGCAGCCACAGGCAATATATGATTGTAAGCATCAGAAGCCTTAGACCGTGTTATAATGCGTCTCCGCGACACAGTGATTTGACACTAACTTGTTCATGGGTTCGATTGATTATATAAACACCAAACTCGTGCATCGTCAAGGAGCTGTTGTACCCGCTGTGCTTGTAGGTTTATCACGTCGGCCTGGATATGCAATCACACATGACAATCTCGCACAGAATGTCATGTCTTGACCATCGGCTTTCGTGAGGGCTACGTCGTGCATAACACCGTAATCTAGTTACTGCGCTCATACGTGTACGATCGAACGACGCCAAACAGCTTTTTCGCGTCAACATGGACAAGATGATGATGCGGTAATACCCACATATATCAAATCTGTCCTTGTCACGCGAAGGGCATAGCTGCACATGATCAAGGTCGAAAGATGCGACACGGCAAGATGCGCATCAATCTACCGGAAGGATATTGACCATTAGGACAACAGAATAGTGTGACAAGAAGCTTGTAGGGGTGTGAGATTCAGAAGCGTTTCTATAAAGCTAGCCCATTATGTATTTTAGATATCCCGCAATGGATGAGAAAGATAAACGAAGACTGCAAGATAGCTGTTTCAGCTTCCATCATCTACTGCACGAGAAAATAAGCCGTCAACATGTCATCAATTTAGCATTTGCAAACAAGTTTAAAGGCTTTACGCCTCGTGTAGATGTTAACTTGAGTGAGAGACGGCGTAAGTCAATGACTTGGGAGCAAGTGACAGTTGTAAGTATCGATCTTGTGCGCCGTTTCTATCTCGGAAAACTGCTTGGTCATAAAGTGATTTGGGAAGCCAGCAAGAACATGTATGACTTTTCTGTCACCGTGGGGCAGCATGCCAGATCTTACTCGACGACGCACATGCGCGCTACCATTTCTATAGTTAATATCTACGTACGGAGTGTGTCAACGCATCCTGTTATTGTGATTGCACCGTCAAAAAAGCCGGCCGTTGTAGATGATAAAGCAGGAGAACACATTCGATTGCACCATTGAAAGTATCGTAGGATCACACTATACTGACGATCGATGTCTGTTAGCATTTAATTTGCATACATATCCGAACAAAACTAGATCGAGTCATGCGTCGTACTGCATAATCACATAATCGAGGACACTCGCTCGCGTCACATGCATGAATTGATCAGTTTGATGTACATCGTACCTTTCGGATGCAAGGGGCACTGTAATCGTGGTCTTACAAGAAAGTAACTGTGACGAGAATGCTTGTTTACATTTACACGATAGTCAATCTTACTTTGTAAGAAGTCATGTAGCTGCATCGAAAAGTATGCAGGCGCACGAGATCACTGTGTAATAGAGATATGACTTTATACAAGTTCAAGTGCAGACCAGCCGTCAATGTGCGTTTTCGACATCCCATCGGTTCATAAAGATAAGCCCTGCATGCCGCTTCATATCAACACCTTTAATCGAAGTATGAATTATTTGCAACAGCTCATACGTTAGGAACCGCTGGCTGACCTCCTATAAGCCGCTAAATCCAGTTCTAGCTAACGCTGGCACGTCTTCTGGATCGGCTTCCTGACGATGCTTTGACTCTGGCTACCACAGTAAACAATTTGATGTTCTTTCCCTTGCACAACGCACATGGAACGCTGGGACGCTATCTCAACTCGTTGTTATGCTGGCAAATACATGAGATGCTGCAGCGCTCTTGTATTTAGTTGTTTGGTGGGCACTCCGAGGGCTAGCGCGGTGTAAACGACCAGGATAGCGATGTGATGACGATCAGCTGCGATTTGGAATCAGGTAATTTTGCTGACAACGAAAACCACTTTGGTGGATGCACAAAAGAAAGGTGACCACTCGGCCATCTACCTGCCATGCTTTACAACTGATTTTAAATGCGAAGTCGTTGCCAGCATATGTGGAAAAGTGGCTGCCTCTATGCGGCTGCGGTCGTGTACAGGTATTTTTTTACCTTGGCCAGTACATGCAGCAAAAAGCTGGCGACGTACACGTAAATATCGCAGCAAATAGGCAGTTCAGTGTCATCTCATATAGTTGTGACCGGCCATACGTAAACGTGGGGATAGTGGAAAGTATAGCGCATTGCTTACGATAGCATAGTATTCACTTTGTCGCTAATTGTGTCGTGGCCTTCTTTAACGAGTCATGGGCTGGCGTCATGTATAGTTGATTTTGTCAAGTGGTCGAGCAAATATTGACGTCCAGTTGTTGGGCTCGCATGTTTGTAGTCGTAATTACGCTTGCTTATTCGACTTTCACCTGCTACAAAATACATTGACATCAAACACTATCACTGAGCCATTCATTCAGAAATTGACGGCCGAAAGAGTTGCTCGCATGACAGCTATTGACATACACGATGAAGACTGCATCGCTGTTACTGATTGTTTTCGCCGATAAACGTTGTTGTGATTACAATGTTATTGCCATAAAGTTATATATCGCTGCTAGAAATGCAATTAATTTGTCATCATAAGTATTGTACTGAATTACTGTAAAAAGGTCTAACACCCCACCACGCGGTCATCAATTCACCAGCTTTGCAAAACGCGCTCATAAGCTCGCGTTTTGCTCCCTTCCCAACGCAAAATAGCGTCATAACAACTAGTACATTCGCGCTCAATACTAAAGCATCGAATGCACGTAAAGAAAACACGCTTCGGAAATGCCTCGGTTATTGACATAGCTGTAAGTGCTGTTCGAACTCGTCTGGACACGTTGCTAGCAGTGCCGGTGCTTTGCAATAAGATTTAATGACTTCGGTCACCATACTTCCTCGCCCCCCAGCTTCAGATGTATCGATATTGGCTTTGGCGAAGGGTCAAGGCTTGACTTCTGCTCCCGCATTTGCCTCAATGACCGCAAGGTGGTGCACGGTGGACACCGGCACCAATTATGCGGGTCATATTCCTAGGACAGTGCATTTTCCTCCCACGCGCCCGTCTTCGGACTAACTACTTGTAGGACATCCGTCCAGTGGTACTATTGAGGGATAGCCTGAAGCTAGTATGCCGTCGGTTCATGTGATAGGCAAGTGAAAAAGTCGTTGGTTTATCGAATGGTACAGCTGTACCGTTGTGCTAGTGTGGATCATCCCGACAAAGCTAACGCGTACGCCGTTGTCTGGAAGAGAATATGGCGTATTCTGAGCATTGTGTGCATCACCTGCTTGTGGATTCAACGCAGTAGTCACGTTTTCAAGAAAGAGTAACGTTCGCCGGCGGAGTTAAGGAAATTCTGGGAGACGGGTATGCGGCAACTCCGCGCGGTTACCAAGCAAGAATTTCGAAGTTCTGAGACGAAGATTTAGGGTGCACGCTTGCTGGCTTGCCAGAGCAGGCTCGAAAGAAATTTAGAGAGATGTCGCCTCAGGTGACAAGCCCCGTACAGCTACCGGACTCACAAGTGAAACCGGCTTTGCTAACCAGGCCCAGGCTTCACAGGACATCTTGCAACCAGTAATAGATTAATAGACTAGTCTACCTCTCTTACCTTTGTGCTAGTCTGAGGCAGACGCGTCTGAACCTAGTATTATGGAACGTTCACCCCATCAGTATACTATCGCAGTTTTGTGCGTTAGCTACCGCTCGCCATACTCGTCCTGGCGCCAAAACACGGACAATCGTGACTGGTTTGGCAAAATCACGTACTTGGCGTGCAAAGCTGGGTATTATCCTACCAGCTCAGCGAGATACCTCGTGTTTGCGCGTCCCACAGTGTCGAATGGGGCCAACTTTTTGCACATGGTATGGCTTGCCACGAGCTGCTCCAATCGAACCTCTCCGCTTCCCAATTTGCGCCTTCGGGCAACAACGGCCAAGCGACAGAGACCTCCACAGAGCCGGACAACCGGCCCCTTTCCTGGGCGGGAAGTCTCATGTCGTGGGGCCCAGGTTAAAAGGGGGGAGGCCTTCTAGCCGCTGCCTGCGCCACGGGAGGCAGCGCAGCGTGCGAACCGTAAGGGGAGCAACAACCCAGACACCCCGGGGTGAGGGCGCGGCGCCAGCGGTTGTCAACCTCTCAACTAGTTCCTGCTGTTCTACGTCAGCCTTCTAGTTGCCGGCCCGGTCGCCGAGCATGGTTCCCGGTCCACGAAGCGAACTTGCCTAGAACGTGACTTGGTCGGCCCCGTTCAGGTGCGTCAGCGGCCATCGGAGGTGATCGGTTTGGTACCCGGCGTTTTCTGCGACTTCAGCGCCCTGTCAGCACCCGAAGCTGGATCCCGATTCCACGTGCCCTAGGCGGAGTGTCCCCGTGATGCCCGCAGTATCGAGCCAAGCAGACTGAGCCAGCGAGGAGGAGTATGGTGTAGTCCAGGTAGAAGCACACCGATATCGTATCGTTTTCAAACACTTGATCGACGTTCAGGTTTTTTCTTCTCCAACCGGACCTCTCCGGGGGGCTGCGCATGTCAGACAAGCCTGGTCTTTTGACTTTACCGCTTTGCTGCATGGTCTCGCAGGGAACGTATCATCTGTACAGGAGGAAGCTGTACACTTGACATAGTAGACGGTACGTCTGGTGAAGAGATGTGGCAGGTGCACCTTGCAATGGAGCCTAGCTGTGGTGGTGTGGAAGGGCACGTATATCCATCACGCGTATGTGTTTTTGACGTGAGCAGTGCTGTCGAAATAGTAACAATGGGTACAGAGCAAAGCATCCTTAGGTAGCTGCTATTTCTAGCACGCCCGTTTCTGCTGAGCCGTGCAGCTGCGATACACGTGGCGGAAGTAGCATCTCCGTGTGATAAATGGTACTACAGTCGATTTATAGCGGACAAATCAAATACTTCCGAGTCTTCTCGCTAAGCGATCTCGGTTTAGAATAAGGAACTTTAAACAAAATCTTGGAGCATTATTTTTCGAAGATTTTTCTTAAAGCTCTTTATTGTAAATCAAAAGAAGGGTTGCGTCTTGCCGAACGATACGCAGGAGAAGGCCAGTTGGCGCTTACAGTATTTGGAAGACCGCAGGGTTTGCTGAGCACAGTGCACGACCAACATCGCCTTTACAGTATCTTGCGATGAATGAAGAGATCAGCTCTTTCGCGTTGTTAACGTCATATGCCCGTCACATGATAGAATACCTCTGCACGGTCAAAAGTGCCATCTTACGTATCGTCACGACTTCTGCTGACGCCTGCACACTTCGAGTCACACGTGGTGCTCGTGGCAGCTTCCGCCTTGCTACGTTCGAGCAAGTATTCGTATATGTAGTGATGACGTGGACGTCGTTGCGCCACCTCAATTTGAGGCCATGAAAAGGTCTGCGGTGCACTACCTGCAGTACGATAGACCGTCCGTCAGTCGAAGCGTCGATTGAGCACGTAGAAAGAACAACGACGGCGACAGCGTACGTCACTCCTGAACGTCACCCGCGAATCAGTATCGATTCATGTGGAAAGCTACGGGCTGCGGGACATGGTTCGTCTGCGCCAGCATAAACAATGATGGTGCAACCCGCTAGCGTGACGACAGACACGGCGTCGTCTCGATTGTAATGTCGACACTGAGATTGTCAAGCAACGAGTCTCTCTGGCGAAGTGAGTCGTGCGTGTGGGTGTGATCGCCATGCTGACTACCATCGAGCAGCATGACAGGACCCGACCCTATGCTGGCCATTGCACTTCCTTTACATTGGCTACGCACTTGTTGCGACGACGACAACAGGCTACGAAGCGAGATCGAGTAGAGATATCAGAACATCACGACCTTGGCGACCATTAGCGTCACGAGTGTGCGTTTGCTGCGAGCGTGCAGCGGTAAGTAAGTCCACTCGGCAACATGTTTGCATTCTTATCGCGAGTGCTCTCTGGCATGGCACGACAGCATCTTGACAAGAGACAAGAATAGTATTTTCTATTGGATGTAGTCTAGGGTCCACTCTTGCGCATGACCTGCTCGCCTGCAAGCACGTACGTATGTGTGTATGCTGATAACCAGCAAGAAGACAGGATCGTGGTCGTGCATTTATACGAAACTAGCGGCTAAACGAAGATAACGACTCGAACAATACCGAGTCTGAAAAAGTAGACCCGCTGCCGTACGAATCATGGTAGTACACTACTTGCTCTAGCGCAGCTTCTCGGGCGCTGCCATTTACAGCGTCGCTCAGGCACCGCGAGCAAAAGCTAATCTTGCGCTCTACGAGCTCGCTGGCTTGGCCAATGAACTTCATGTCCACGCGCACTTTACAGGCCGAACAGATGTGGCCAATGCAGAGCTTGCACGTGCTCCTGGTGAACCCAGGGATGCTCTTCCGCTTCCCGCACATGACGCACTTTTTATTCTTTCGGTGGCTCCCGTCGCACTCTTTGCCGCGCACGTGTCGGCGCTGCAGCATCCACGCGAGCTTCTTCATCTGTCCGCAGTGCACGTAGCTCGCGGCACAGAGCATGGCAGTGGCTGCAAACGGAACGAACTGGAGCCGCTTGATGACCATGCCAGGGTCGACCACCGAGCACGCGTAGCTGTCAATGATAGTGCTGTGCACGTGTCGGAAGAAGCTGACGGACGACATCTTACCCCGCACCGTGTTTTTCAATGGCCTCGTCTGCGGAAAGTCCACCGAGTGGAACACGTGGTAGCCGAGGCGCTCGCCGTTGTGGAGCTCGAGAATGTCCGTGGCTTCAATCACCACGAAGTCGCGACTTTTTCCGGTGGCCGTAATGCGATTCGACGCCATCCAGCGGACAATCACGGACCGAAACGGCTCTTTCGCAGTGGGTTCCACGGCGTTGCACAAGATGGCGCCGGACACGACACTGCCAATGTAGGCCGCTTTGATGCGCAGCGCGTCCCACGTTGTGCTGAGGATGCCAAACATGAGGTCTTCGAGGTCGCCAACGAGCGTACCGACGCACATCATTGCCACCAGTTCCTTCTCGGCTTCACTCTGGGGGACGTCGGTTTTGGGCGTGATCCCTCGACGTGTCTGGTCGTCGACCGACCGCTCGGCATAGACGTTCAGCCCTTCTTTGAACTTGACGCACTCCCATCGGCGCTCGTCCATCTGGTGCTTGTCCGCCATGACAAAATGCTCGTACTTTTCAAAGTGGCTCTGCACGCACCCGTTCACAACATCCACGAGCTGCTGACGCTGTTCGTCGGACAAGTGCACGTCCGCATAGGGGTTTGTCCGATACGTGTCTTTCGGCATTGCGATCAAAGACTGGAGGGCTCGTCGTGCGGCTCTAGCGAATTCACGAATGAAGTGCTCGTTCCGTCCTCCTGCTGTCGACGCGCAGCCGTTGATCGTTTGATTTGAACGACGGGACAACGTCAGCTTACACTGGTCAACTAGTCAGTGGATGATGGCAGCAACTCCGCAGAAAGTCGAGGATAGGCTCGCCCGTGTCGACAGTGATCTTCCGAAGTAGTAGGGTTGCGTAAAGATACTGCAGGCTACAATTAACACAAACGTCGATTGAACGCGCTCTGTGTCTGTCACTTGTAGACGGCAACGAGTCCTTACCTATGCACGCCGGCAGGATGCTATTCACGCGACGCGCTGCGCACGTAACCTCTGACTGCAACAAAACCGTCGTGTGGAGCTCTTGGCGATCCACTTCGATCGTTGCATCCGGTGCGCCAATTTGATACGCACATCTCTGTATGCGATCGTGTCAGTGCAGGTTCGATGGATCAGCTCGTTCGAACCAGAGGTCTCATTCAGCCAACAAGCGCTTAGCTACAGCGAGTCGGCGGTACCAGACTAATGAAGAGACCTGCCACATTGGTTGTATTGTTCGGCATGGAACAACACGCGCTTGACTCAAAAAGATATCAGAACGCGGAGTACCGTGTGGCGCCGACATGTCTGGCTTCGAGCACCGAGAAGCGCTCTAGCGACAGCACAAAGGGTTCGTAACCAAAGGCTACTCATGCACACAGAGGCGTCCGACATGACTCGAGCAACCAATTGCACGGCATACTGTGCGTTCCAGTAAACTGATGGCCTCGAAGTCATGCGCACAAAGAAACGTGTAGGGACCGAACAGAGGTAAAAGGTGATACTCGATGTCCATTCTCCATGTCGTGCGCTATCACAGCGGCAGTACCGGAACTTGGTCTTGCCGTGCCGTAAGAGGAAGACTGGATAGACGGAGATTCGACGATTAAGACGGACGCGTTCGCTCTCGCAAGCCGGTTCGACTCGCTGCGACGAATGTACACTTATGGGGAAAAGAGAGCGACCATGGTGCAAGATAATTGCACACAACGCGCTTCATCGAACGCATAAACCGCTTGTCCAAAGCAGTAATGTTCATGTCACCATCGATAGCGAGTCCAGACTTGCCACGCGCAAAGAGTCGACAGCCGCCTCTTGTCCGTTTGAATGGCTAGCGGCTTCGATTTGCCTGGCACGGACGACGATCGTATGCGAAACTGGTGGGTTTCAGATGGGGGAATGGGAGCCAATCGTGGCGATGGAGAACTCAACTGCATGATCGTGACTTCGCTGTCGTGGGTGATCATTTCTCGACCTTTACGCACATCAGCTGTTGCCAGGGCATCTGTGTTGGAAACGGTAAGGGCTCATTTGTGCTTCAAGCCTTCGTTAGGTATGACAAAGTTGATTCGATGCGAACAGCTCGTACTCGCAATTCGTTTCTTTCGTCCACGCTACATATTTAACGGAAGAATGTATTTACGTCGACCCCTCGACCCTCTCAAAACCTATGGATAGTCTCCCTCATTACGCACAGATTACTTAGTTTGCGCGACAGCCGCTGGAAGCAACACGCTCACCATCTTAGACGAGCACATATCCGGTACCACGTATGCAGTCTTTTCCAACACGTAGTAACGCATCCACGTTTCGCTCACCGCAATTATTGCTTGCAAACTGCCCTGTATCGCCATATCTCAGAGCGGAAGGGGTCACATTGCATGTACCCGAAAGAGCTTCAAAGCTGCACACGTGAGCAGGTAGCAACAGCGGGCAAGATTCCAGTTTGCGGCAAAATGGCCTGTTGCTGTTGATATGTGATGGAGCACTTTTCACCTACATCGATGACAGTGCACCTGGCTAATGCTAGCTGCAAGATAGACCGTGAGCAGCCCGAAACACCACTGACACGATATACATGCGGTTAGTGAGGGAAAGAGCAGTAAAGTGAACAAGTCATTTCGACCACGGAGAGAGGAGACAATATGTAAGGCACTCGTGCTCGGCAGATGTAATAATATATACGCCCCACCGAAATATATCAAACTCTATACATTTACCGAAAGTCTACTTTTAATTTGTGGGGTGGCGCGTGTCTGGTCATGATAGGGGTCGTTATATGTCAATCTAATGGCCTGTTCTACTTGTTTAAATAGAGGGTCGTAAGCCGCTCCAAATACTTTACTTTCAATGGTCATTTACTTCAAACGTAATTGATACGGAAGTTTCTTCCAGTCTCTCAAGGTTTACTTGGTTATTTATCGAAGAATATCATTTGTACACTTAATCATGAAACCTGTTACCTTTGAGAGGGTACATACTCAATATTATACTCGAAGGCAGTTATCCCAAAAAAACGGACTTAAATCAATTTAATTACTAGAGTTTAGTTATTCTGGTCATGGTTTTAGCTAAAGGTGAACTAAATGATATATAGTCTCATGAACACATTGTTTAACGTCAATGTCTGGTGAAAGGCTCACCACGTCACGTCCCTATTCCGTGCTATCGAATATCACCACTAAGGGCGATGAAGGCCAACTTAAGGACCACTGTTTGGTCGATTTGGAGGGAACCTTTGTTGTAGAAAGAATCATTATGAGCACTTGTTGCATGGTAAGCATCACGAGAGTTTAGCCCGTTTCAGGACATTGGTATCATCAATACCAGTGCGAATGTGATCGCTGCGGGTCATGATTCCTGATTAGTTGTTACAACGTGCCATTCAGCGACTTCTAATAATCGTTTGATACAGGCCATCATATAAACGAACAAAGCGTCAAACAATGCTATGCGCACGCAATGGGTGGTGTGGCATACAGTCGTAGGTTGTGATGGTATTGAGATATTGCTCACAAAGTTTGAAGCAAAATTTACGTTACAGTGATTATGTTACTGAATACATATCCCTTTACTTTCGGTCAATGTGTCAGCTAGTCGTCTTTCTTCCTCTGCACGTATGTGTAGGCAGAATCGCAAGGTATCAGCCTACACGGTGTTACTGTAGGCCAGTTTATGCTGTAGCAATACAAGGGAGAGATGATGTCACAGTAAGCGTTCGACTTGCATGAGCGGAGACGAAGGGCGCAAAATCGTTTCTGCGAGAATAATTGTTGTTTGCTTATCAGGAGATGCCCCAATGTCAAGGGAGCTTTTCTGTCAGAACGAAGGTTGAGAACCCAATGTTCGACCACCTGTATCGATTGATGCTTTTACATGTGGCGCCTATGTATGCCATCGAATCAAGCTACACACTGGTCGTACTAATCAAAAGATTCAGATTCGTGTAATATGCCGATTTCTTGCTAAGATCTCGACCGCAATGTAGCAAAGAGAATTGGAAATCGACGAACGTGCGAATTTGTCCTTGCTTACTTACGTCACATTGTATTTTACAAGTACAAAAAAGACAGGTACACCACATTGTCGGTAATTATAAAGTATAAGCCTTACAACTCGTTCTTGTCAGTTGTCGGATTCGATTCATACATAGCTCTCGCGATGATGCTCTTTACTTTTTTCAACGCGCTTTTCGATGCAAAACGTGTCGGAACGTGTTTGCTTTCTTGTAATACTTGTGCGGTGCGTCTCAATGGAAGATGCAAGCGCACTTCTTGTATTGGGAACAAGAAGGACCGTTCAAGTAACGGGTTTACACGTCGGTTGGTAAGCGACATAACAGGTGTGGTTCACACCAGGGATGAGATCCCATTAAAATGATATTCGAGCACCTTATCAGTTGTTGGGTGCTGACGTGTGTCAGCCAACAAATACAAGATCTGTAAGAAGGTACTAATTAGATCATTGGTGTCTCGATTAGGTACGTTTAGCCTAAGGTGTGATTTTCCATAAAATTAAGTAAGCATCAGTTCCCCTTTTGATCTGTTAGAGAACCGTGCCTTGTTATGGCGTCTCGGATCTTATAAAGAACAGTCAAGCCTTTCTAAGGCGTCAAATTTGAGCACTATATGTTGTTGATTTACTGAACCGGTTGGTCTCTTGAACAAGGACCTGGAGCTGTAAGCTCATTGAATCGTAGATTCGTGTTCTGGTAAAGAACAAGCTTGCTCGTCAAGCACAAACCCTTCCTCTGGATAGGAGCTGTGCTAGCTCCGCTACAGTTCAAATGGCATGGAAAGATCTACGAGGGTTACGAAACATTCTTTGGATATCATTTAGATGAGAATATGCTAGACGCTACCATCTGTTCACTTCTATGTTTCGTACCTGCGTTCAGGGGATAGTTTTACATATTTTGAGCCTAAGTTATGCATACTGGTCGTGAGTGTGACGAATTTACGACTGAAAGAGCCTTACTGTTAGTATCAAAGGATATTGATAGACAAATCCGTGGAACCTCGAGTCTAAAGCGACACATATATCACTGTGTTTGCGCTTCTTCAGAAGATGATAGCAAGGCTCGAATGAACGAAGCGCCTTTATCGGCTAGTTCAATCATAGGCTCGAGTGATGGCCAAAACAATTCTAGGAAGTATAACCGACACGTATCTATCCGTCGCCAGCGGTATCCAAGAAGCTGACCGGTGTAGTGCATCATCGGTACGTTCCGGTCAACTATACAAGATCTACATCAACGGCAGTATGCACAAGATGATACTGCCATATCTATCGAGGAAGGCTACATGAGCAGGAAAGTAGATATCACGTCCAGCAACCGCGTCAGTCAAGATAAGATCGGTTCGAGCAATTTAAGCATGGTATCGCATCATATTGAACTGGGTTTCTGTTGCGTATACCAAGATGTCAAGGATGATGATCCATAAATTGACGGGCAAAGACCTCAACATTGACCTGTTCAGATATTTCAGCAAAAGAGGATTCTCGGTCATGAAAAAGCTGTAAACGAAGTAGATATCTTAACGATAATGATGGGCACGTGTCCGTCGATATCGTAATAAGGTGAAAAGTTTGAGAGGGTGATTGGTTCGTAACCAACCGATTTGGTCTACTTTCTCCACAATGTGGCA